TGGAAACCATCCACCATGGATTTGAATCATACAATTGTATTTTCGCCCGATCTAAAATCGAATATGACATGGTGGTTGTCCAGAGCGAACACTTTGATGGGTCGTTCCTTACAAGTTTTCCAATCACACCTGACTCTAACCACAGATGCAAGTTTGTGGGGTTGGGGAGCTCATCGTCAGGGGCAGTATATACAGGGAACTTGGTCCAAGTGTATGACCACGAATCACATCAATTTCTTGGAGTTGAGAGCAGTTTACAACGCTCTTGTTCATGCGCAAATGTTGATAGAAGCTCCAGTAATGCTTCCAACGCGTCATTCCAGGGTCATCCAAAAATTTACCACCCATATCCATACTCTCGTCCACCTTAGAGGTCTTTAGTACCTGAATGGGACTTGCCCTTAGTACTTGACTGTTTGAAAGGTCTCCTTTCGAACCCTTAAAAACTTCATCTTTGAAATGGGTAACTTTTAAAACAGTTTTTCTCTTTCCTATAACTTCTTTTCGAAGATGTAGTGATCTGCAATCCCTACGCTTAGGAGAGGGCAATATAAATATTCAAAAACGTGGTTTGACTCTCATAAGGCAGGGTCTGTCAAAGCAAGATAGAGCCTCACATGTCAATCCAAAGATTTTCATTCCGGCCTTTTCAGATTGCAAATATCTGGACCCCAAGAGAGCACTGTATGATTATTTAAAAGAAAACAGAAAAATTTCGTAAAAACAATGCAGATCATACTAAGTTATTCCTAAGTTTTAGAAAACCCAATTCTCCTGTGAATTCTCAAACTATATCCAGATGGATTGTTTGTCTGATTAAAATGGCCCATAGCAGTAAAAATCTAAAAGTCGGAGGGCATTCAACTAGAACTGTAGGAGCCTCTTGGGCCCTGTTTAAAGGTGCCTCTATGAAAAGTGTGATGGAAGCAGCAGATTGGTCTCAACCAAATTCTTTTGTTAAATTCTATTTACAGGATATTGATACAGATGCTTGTCCTTTAAATACACTGTATATATATATACATATATATATATATATATGTTAGAGAGATTATTAGTTGTATTTTCACTTTAACAAATACATTGTTTTTTAATTTAATTATAAACCCAGCCCCAATACCAGGGCTTTGGGAATTCAAATTTTATGAATAATGTATACCTACCTGACATGTTAGTAATTGCCCGCCCTGTCTGCCCCGCTTTATGAGGAGCGATTTCAGCGCGCCTCGAAGAAACTGAGGTCATCACCTGAGTTGATGATGACTTTTTGTCAAGATCGGACTGTCCGAGTTTTTTGAACGCAAGGGAGAGAATCCATATGTAAACATGTCAGGTAGGTATACAGTATTCATAAAATTTGAATTTTTAAACGCCAAATATATTTAAAAACATTACGTAAGGTTTTTTAAGTTCGTTATGTTCTTTAGAAGCTGTTAGATAACTACTGTACATATCTGAGTCAAATAAACGCGTAATTGTAGAGAAATATGTCTCGTATGTATTCTCAAGCTTTCAACTAATAATATTGAACCATTAATACCAAACACCAAATCTGGGTCAAATTGCTTAATTAACAATAAGTACGCTGCGTTTCTAATTAACCCTTTTAACACAAATTCAGTTTGATTAGGAAGATACATAGATATAAATAGCGTACTTTAGAAATATTTTCAGGTATAATTTAAGACGTTTTTGAAAATGGAAACTTTTTACAAAAAGGTGGAATGCTTCTGTAAGTTATTCTGTATTTATTCTTCTTTCTAGTATGAAAACCACAAGAGACATTGTTTGAAAAACATAGTTTTACCTCAACTATAATTAATTGATATTAATCAATGATGCATTATCAAAGATCATCACTGTTTTCGTTATTGGAAAATATCCAATATACCAATATATGTACTTGTGTATTTGTTTAACAGGTATATATTTTTATCATTTATTCATTATGTCCCCATGGGCTGAATGATAGACAGGACCATGTCCTTGTGTGTTGGGCTTAATTCTGACCCATGTAAAATAAAGAGTTTATTATTATTATTATTATTATACCAAGATACAAATATGGGTTGGTTGGTGAGCACAAAAAAAACTTTGATATGTCTTTCGTGTAAATCTGCCTTTTGCTAGTTGCTTACGAACGAGATAATTATATAGTTAAAGAATAAGATTCATAAATTGATTGAATTTTACTCGTTAATCAGTTCAAAGTATTCTGTGAAAGCCTCTGAAAAGATATACTCAATAGGAAAGTTTTCGGGATAGATTTTCGATAACCTGTATTGATTGAAAAGTGCATTTGAACTGCATTAATTTATAACAATTGTTATTGTCTTTGTGGAAAAGAGTATCAAAAACATATATGTTTATTATTATATATTATTTTAAGTTCTGAGAGTTATTTTCTTATCATATTTCTTACAATACTAAAATATTTTTTGTAGAGCGATATAGAAATACCACTGTTAAAATAGTACTCAATACATCAATAGTAGAGGGATATAGAAATACCACTGTTAAAATAGTACTCAATACATCAATAGTAGAGGGATATAGAAATACCACTGTTAAAATAGTGCTCAATACATCAATTGTAGAGTG